GCCCGGCGGCAGCCCCCGCGCACCAGCAGTGCACAAGGCCCAGCAGGAGGAACCACACACACACACGCACGGCCCGGCAGGACAGGGTCCCATGCTCACAGGCCAGGCTGCATTGCTCACCGGTTCAGAACCACCACCACCACGGCACCGTCAGGGCGCAGGAAAGCTGTGTACTCCAGGTCCACCTTCTTGGATTCTTTGGAGGCGACGAGCCCCACACGCTGGGAGCCCTCAGGGATGAACTTACTGCACGGGCACAAGCAAGAAGCAACCCCAGGAAGGGATTCAGACCTCAGAAGAGCTCCACTCCCAACAAACCTGCCCTGCTCTCCTCCCGACAAGCTGCTACTGCAACCATGGAGCTGGAGCCCGGGCAGCTGAGAGTGTGTCGGGGGGCCCCGACCCACCTGAAGTGCCCCATGTGGTAGAACATGGGCTGCTTGTAGAAGATGCCTTCACTGGTGTCCACAATGACTGGGCTGTCCACGTAGTTCTTGACCCAGTTGGGGCCCCCCTCCAAGTCCAGGGCCAGGTTCCAGTCGGTCCAGCCGGCCACAAAGTGGTTCAGGTTCTGCAACAGGACAGCCCAGACGTCTGCCCAAGGAGCAGGGTGCCGACGGGAGAGGGAGCGTACCGGCAGCCCTCTCCAGGGCCTGCCGTGCAGGGCAACACGGCGGCCTCACCGTCAGGATGCTGTGGCTATACTGGTTCCCCCGATCCCAGCAGCCCAGGATCACGTCCCTCTCCCAGAAATGGGCCCCGATGCACGCCTCCGTGGCCAGGATGAAATAGTCAGGGAAGAGCTCGTGAGTTGGCACCACCGTGTCCTGTATGGGACCAATGAAATCCAGATACCAGTGGATCCCAATGCCGTGGACGTAGCGAGCTGCCTTTTCATCCTCCAGGACCTGGCAGGGAGAAAAGCCGGCCATCACCGGGTATCACAGGGCAGAGAGCCAGCGCCCCAGCACTCGTGCTGCAGGATGGAGTGGCCGAGCCCTCCACGGAGACGTGCTGCACCAGTGGGACTGGGGCTCTGCCCTGGCTCGCCGTGCTGGCGGATCCCATGCCGCACTCACCACTTTGGCCCAATGCGGGAGGTGGAGCCGGTTGTCGTCCAGGATGATGAGCTGGATGTGGCGGTGGGAGCTGTTGGCCAGCGCGGGGCCCAGGTCCCACGCGATGAAGTCCCGCTGCTGCTCGGCTGTGAAGCCCAGGCACTGGAAGGGGTAGTTGTTGATCAGCCCAGCCGAGGGCTCGTTCTCTGCCGTCACCGCCCAGAAGGTCAGGTTGTACTTGGCGTATTCATCCAGGAACCTGGGCGCAGGGGAGAAGGGTGAGCCATGGGGTCTCCCCAGCACCACCACTGAGGATCCCCTGAGTATCTCCCCTGTCCCCTCGCTCCAGGTGCTCCTTACCGTACAAAGTAGTTGGCCCAGGTCTTGTGGTACTTGTCCCCTGCCTGCCCCTTCAGCGTGCCCTTCCCCACGAAGGACTCGCTGGTCTTCATCCAGGTCGGGGAGGTCCAGGGGCTTGCATACAGCGACAGCGGCTGCTTGCTCATGGCCAAGGCTCGGTGCAGGAGGGGAATCTGCAGGAGCAGGCAGAGGGACCACCTGAGCTGAGGCCCTGCTCCCTCCCACCGCTCATAGAATCATAGAATCATTGAGGTTGGAAAAGACCTCTAAGATCATCGAGTCCAACCGTCAACCCAACACCCCCATGCCCACTAAACCATGTCCTTAAGTGCCTCATCTACTCGTCTTTTAAATACTTCCAGGGATGGT